GGATGGGCAGGTTTCTCCTGGGGGGCTGCCTGCTGGCGGTGGGGAAAAGGTAGTCTAGGCGTGAAACGCATCCCGGTTTCGAAAGCCTGCTAGCAAAGAGGGGGCACGCTCTGTTTTTGCGGTGGCATAATTTTGGGGAAGTGGCTGAGGAGCTGCAGGGTGGTCATGGTGTTAGAGATGGGAAAATAACCCCGGGGAGGTGCTTTGCATTGTCTGCAGCGAGAAACCCTGCCGGGTGGATTTTTCTGCTTCCCTTCGTTGCTTGCGCTGATAGCTCTGGGGTTTGCAGCATGCACAGCCCACTCGAGGAGGTTCCCACTCAACTTTCCAAAAGTTCGGTGTTTAAAGCATCTGTAAAAGCGCTGAGGCAATTGGAACTAGCAGCTTTTGAGAATCGGCTCTTTTCTTCCTGGCTCAGAAATACCAAGGGTCGACAGCTTTGCTTTTTATCTTGTTCTTTTTGACGCACAATCGCACGGTGGAGTTTTGCTGGTGTTGACTGGGGCTGGTAGGAATGAGGGTGCGAGACGCTGGGTGAGAGCGGGGAAGTAATCGTATGGAGCCCGAGACCTTTCCCCTTGAAAGTCTGTTTGAGCTGGGCATTAGCTGAGGAGCAACCCTACGGAAAGTTGCTGTGAGCAAACAGAAAGGCAGCTGAGGAGCACTGCTCTGTATCCAGCAAATAAGCGTTTAACCTTTTCTACTGATAGACCGAAGTGCTGGGCATTTTCAAGGCTCTGGGGTACAGAGGGCTTTGAAAAACACCAAGTTTTCCATGCAAACTGAAAACAGACCCGGCTTCAAGCTCGGTTTTTCGCCCAAGGAGCCCGCAAGGCACCCAGCTCTTTGGCGTAACCAGTTCTACCACCTGGGGAAAAGTTGCTCAGATCTTTGCTGGGCATCGGGAGCTGCTTTCCGGCTCCGTAGATCTGCTCTGTGTCAGTCTGTGTGAAAACACAGCTGGTCCAGAGTCTGAGGGTTTTCTTCTTGTGTGTTTGGGTTTTGCTTTTTGCGTTCCCCCCCCTGTTTTCTAGTCCTGTTGGCTTTTAGCGAGGCAGATGTGTTGTTCGGGGCATGTCCCTGACCCCTTCAGCCCACCCAGCGCACCCCTCCCTTTACCCGCCAGCCAGGGTCCCTCTGCCCAGCCGCTGACTTTAGGACTATCTTTGGAGCAAACCAGCTGAGACGTCGGGCGCGTTTCATACGTGTTTGCGTTCCTTTATAGAAAGCTCTCACGACTTACTCTCAGCCTTCAGATAAGGTGCTTTTTCTGGGATGAACGTGCCCCCTCCCTGGGAGTTGGGGGTGCGGCTCTTTGGGACAATGACCTCTCCATGCGGGATCTGTGCGGCCGTGTGTGTCGAGCACGTGGCCTGGAGAACCCCGTGGGGCAGAAGCGGCCGTGGGTTAGGCTGCAGATCTGTGCTCAAGCGTGGCACCGCCAAAGCTTTATTGTGGCACCAGCAGCCTGTTGGAGCTGGCAGAAAGACCAATGCTAATTTTAGAAGGTGTTTATATCACCCCCCTCCCCCCCAAAAACCACCCAAAAAACCTTGGTGCCTGTGAAGTACCGTGGGTTGCTCCAAAGTTCTCTCTGTCTTCAGACGCTGGTTTTTCTCAGCGATGCCCTGGACCATCCTCTCCCGCCCCACAAGTTGGCCGTGCAGGGTGTGAGGGAGCTGGGACGTGTCACAGCGGCTGCCCCAGCGACAAACCTGACCCTGGGGCCATCCTGTCATCTGATGAGGGTGAAAATAAAGCTAGGAATTAATTTTAAAATGCTGGGGGAAGCGAGGAACCTGTTACAGTCAGATAAGTCTTTGTGAGTGAGTGTTTCTGAAGAGCTTGCTCTGATAAAGTATATCTTAGAGTGTCAAAATAGGGAACACTTTGTCCTAGATACTATAATAGACTCGGAGCACATTTTTAATGAGACAGTATTATTCCCTGCCTTTGGGTAGCAAATGTGGGATGCCCCACGCAACAAATCCCAATTGCTGTGGTTTTCCACAGGCTGGCTTTTGGGAGGTGGCGTTTTTGGGGTGCGTCGGTGGCTGCAAGGGATGCTTGGTTGGCTCCCAAGGAGCTGGGGCTGCGAGGCGGTGGGAGCCTTTGAGAGCTGAGCTCCTGCCGCATCCAAGCCTGAAAACAGGGATTTGGGGGGAAGGATGAGCTTCCCCCTGCAGGGAGGGATGGATGGGTGAGCCTGGAGGGGCAAGGACCTCCTCTCGTGAGCGATTAGTACAGCGTCCACCGCAGAGGGGCTGTGGTGTTGGTTGGTTGGTCCGTGTGGTTGCTAACGTAACGGGTGATGATGATGTAAAACTGGGTTTTTTGAGCAAACCTAGTGACCTGCTGCCCAGCCTTCGTTGCATTTAGACTGTTTTAAAAAAAAAAAAAAAAAATCCCAGCCATTTAGGTCACTGGGAGCCTTTCCACTGACTTCACCAAGCTCTGAAGCCAGCCCAGCGTGCAGCGAGGGGGTAGGTGACAGCACCCCCGTGGTTTGGAGGTGCTCCATCCTTTTTTTTGAGCAGGATGAGAGTGTTGCCAGACCTGAGGCTGACTGGCTTTTTGACTGTCCTTGACATAATGTCCTGCCTGACCCACCCGCTGCAAGATGAGGTTAGCCTTTCCACTGACTTCACCAAGCTCTGAAGCCAGCCCAGCGTGCAGCGAGGGGGTAGGTGACAGCACCCCCGTGGTTTGGAGGTGCTCCATCCTTTTTTTTGAGCAGGATGAGAGTGTTGCCAGACCTGAGGCTGACTGGCTTTTTGACTGTCCTTGACATAATGTCCTGCCTGGCCCACCCGCTGCAAGATGAGGTTCGGGGGGCTTCTCCTCCTGCCTGCCAGCACCCCCAGAAAAGCTGCCTTTGATAATCAGCCAAAGGGCAGGGCAGTGAAACCGAATTTTAGGTGCCGTGCCAGAGCACGGGCAGGTCCTGCCCTTCCAGGACCAGGCAGCGTGGCCGTTTGCATTTCACCAAATTCATCCATCCTGCCCTCCCCTGAAATGGGAGCGATGCCGTTTTCTTTACAGGCGCTCATAAGGGTTAATTAACGTTTCCAAGAACGCTTGGAGGTTGCAAACAACTGTAACAGCGTTAAGATATTAAGCAGACTTTTTTTGTTGTTATTTAAAAAGATAAAAAAATGCAAACAGCGGACGGAGACTTCTTTGCTTCGAGGCTGCCATTCAGAGAGGTCAGATGCGGTCTCCGGTGTGGAGGGCGACTCGATCCCACCGCCTGGCCTCCATCCGATGTTATTGCTGCGTGCGGCCGTTCGAAGGGGTACGTGCTCCCTCTGCGCAGCCAGCCGAATTTAATGCCAGGCTCTTGAGCGAGAGGTACCGCTTGCTCTTGCCTTTCGCCGTCAGCTGCCTGGAGCCCAAACCCCCCACCGCGAAATTAAAATCCCCTCTCAAAAAAGTGCTGTCCGCTGCCCGCTGCGGATGAGGTGTCACCACCGCTGCTTGTAGGAAGCTTTTGGCAGCTAAATGTGTTGGAGGATAAGAGGAAATACGCCAAAGTACTTAATATTTTTTTGAGGCCAGAGTTTGGGGTTGCAAGAAGCTTGTTAGTCGCCTGGATGGAGCCGGTTGCCTTTCATGAAAATAATCCTTGCGCTGAATAACTTTGAATTCTGTTTCTCTGCTATAAAGTGACTTCCTAGATTTACCCGTTGGCATCTTCTCTGCCTTCCTGCAAGGAGCTGCTGCAGGGCCTCACCCTAAGAGAGGGTGGAAGCTGAATGAATTAAGGGTGTCTGGCGCTTGGAGAAACCTGGGACCCTGTACCCTGACCCTGTGGCTGTCACGGGTGGGAGAATTGCAGCTCCTCTGTGCCGATGAATTGCTGTGGCCGATATCACCGGTTGCAGAAATGGATAGGTTTTAAGATCATATAGTGTATCACTTTTTTTTTTTTTTTTACTTTAATGCACTCTTGAGTTTCAGTGGTTAAAGCAGCCAAGCGCTGTCAGTATATTAAATTCTGGGAGTGTCTCTCCTGCTGGGGAGAGGATTTGTGAAACAAAGCATGTTTTCCTCCTCCCTGCTGCCAAACGGATCGTTTTCCCCAGTGAAATGGTGAAGCGCTTCCCAGCACATTACGTTTCACTCGAAGAATTTGCCATTGGTTATGGCTCGATGTGGAGTTTTTGCTGCGCTGTTGCTGCTGCTCCGGCGGAGCTGGGCTGGTGGGAGAGAGGAGGAGGAGGCACCCGCGGCTCTGGGCATCACCTGCACGGGGCAGGAGGTGTACCATGGTTCCAGGAATTAAAACAAAAAAACAAAAAAAAGTTGGGGGGGGGGGAGAAGATAAAGTATTGTAATAAAACCTCCAGGCACGGAAGATGGCCAGAAGCCAACTGGCAAGGTCCAAGGTGCGGCAAAGCTTCACGACTTGTAAGGTGGCTTCTCTGCTCGTGCCAGCCTCGCCTGGGCGGTGGCGGGGTGCGAAAGGCCGGTGAGAGGGGTCTGGGCCCCAAAGAGAGGCAAAGACGCCATGGTAACTCTGATTTGCAAGAAGGGGCCGGGAGCAAACGTGCTCTGACGCCCACTGAGCGGCGCAGACCCCGCGTCCGTGGTGCAGGCAGCCGCCTCTTTGCCGTGGACAGCTTGCGATCCCCGTGGTCCATCCCCGAATGCGTCCCTGCGGTGGGTGCAGGCATCCCCCCGCCCCGTCCGAGGCTGATCCCTGGGGCTTTGCAGCCAGCGGCTGGGGGGGGGCGGCGCGCCGGGGGCGTGGCGGCCGGCGGCTGGGGGAGCGAGGCGCGACGTGTCGCGACGTCCGCCCCGCTGGGTCGGCGATTAAATGCCTGCTACTTCTGAGCAGCTGCCTGGTGCCGAGGGGACTGCGTGGCGCAGGGATGCGTTGGTAATTAAATGCTGAATATCGTCCTCATTAGAGGGGGCTTGGCCAGGGGGAATAGTAAAGAAAAATTTTAAAAAAGCTAATGCAGAGA